CCCGTCAAAAAGGCTTGCCGACGAATAAGCAGCGTCTAATGCGGGGCGTTAGGAATACGGCCTTTAGCATGGGCCGCGTTAGAGCACCAGTAGGCTACAGCGCTTTGTAAGATGACGTAAATACTTAAATTCAATTTCGCAAAACTGCGCGAAAATGTTCCATAGTTTGAGGGAAATTTATTTTCTTGGACTTAAATTGAAATATCATGTTGACTGTCTGGCTCTTAATTTCCGAATATCACTTTTAATGTATCAAGATTCAGAACTATAATTTACTTTAATATAAGTGTAATCTTATTGTTTATTGTGCTTTTTATAAAGCGCAGAGCAGCTTCAAAATCGGAAAGCCATCCTGTTTTCACCAAGCTTCTTTTGGAGCTTAATATAGGTAGTCTAGTTCTATACGGTGAGAGCTTAATACATTTTTAAAGGGCCAAAAGTCTCAAGACAGCAAGCTTGCAGAAATAACCACGTACGTTTAAATGGACGAGTGATAGGTGTTAGGGGCTGTTTAATGAACACCAACTTATGTAATCAAATTAAACGTCGCATAAGCGTGAAAACGCCAGTGCTTGTTTTTTTTCTATAAAATTAGCCTAACGGTTGGCGGTACCGGTACATGACATCACGCGCGAGCGTTAACTCGGTGACGATGTGCTAAGTGGGGGAATGAAAAGGTGGGGTTCAAGAAATGCGACTCAGCATGCTTTTTATATTTCTTGACCCTTCTTAATAGTTCTATCGTTCTCACTGAGAAAATGGATCACCAATGAATGACGTGTCATACTTCTACAGCTGGTCTTTCTCCCACAACCATCCCCTGTTTTCACTAAAAAAAAACCTGACCTGTCTCCAAAATCACATCGCTGAGTTCTACTCAACCTCTTCCCACCACAAATCACAATTTCTATCTGAAACAATTTGTTCATATTTTTGTTCTGTAACAATGCACGCTGTCCTTACTATTATACTATCTTAAGAGCGACGTCATTTATGAGCGATCTAATACTGATTTGATTACTGCAAATAAAGTGTTCAAAAGTTCGACCTCCCAACAATTGTTGTGATCTTGGATACACACTATTAAGTCTGAAAAAGGTCTATTAGTCATTCATGTAAACTATATTGAAAAAAAAAAGAAAAATTACTATACAGGCATATATTAAAACAATACAAAACAATCATATTAAATCACAAAATCAACACAAAAGACATGCAAATAGACAATTTTTCAAGGGAAACTACTCTTTTATTGTTTTTGAAACATGGCCGCTGCTTGTATTTACTCATTGTTGTCTCGAATGGGGTAGTTTAAAGTTTATTCCATATATTTATTATTTATGACTAGTTTGGTCTTGAATTGCGGATGTCGTAATGTAGTCCAGTCTTACTATCGTTCGTTCAAGTCGTCCTATGTATTTTTTAAAGTACAATAAATAGTAGAATTAAATAATGTCATCCTGTCGAATCATTTGTATACCTTGATGTCGTCGTCAGTACTGGCGCTAGGTTATTTTGCGTCCCTGGGTAAAACGTATTAAAACGCCCCCCCCCCCCCCCTCACTCGAATTTTTTGGGCCCTTATTATATATATATATATATATATATATATATATATATATATATAATAAGTCTTCTAATATATATATATATATATATATATATATATTAGAAGACTGTCTACATAAATTCTAAATTAAATCGTTTCATTGCAAAGGATATTCATCATGAGACAACAAATCACACACAAATAGGCTCGAACTTATTTCTGGCTTGGAATAATCAAGTTTTAAAATTTCTTATTTCCGCCAAACGAAATTTATGAATAGTGTTCCTTCTTTTTTGGCAAGTCTGTCAAAGACTATGAATCGTGGAAACTTGATATGTGTATTGGTTTTGTTTGTTGTTTTTACTTTCTCGTATATACGAAGCAGAGTTTCTTCCAGGCATCTCTTCGGGGGGGGGGGGGGGCGGACACTGTTAAAAGTATATATTTTCTATATAAATTATATAAATTTCATTCGGGGGGGGGGGGGGGGGGGGGGTGGCGGTAAAAAAAATTCGGGGGGCACAGCCCCCCCCCCCCCCCCCCCCCCCCCCGAAGCGATGCCTGGAAGAAACTCTGCACCCCCTCCCCTCTCAACTCTCTATCCTCACCGAAATTCCATCCATCCATGATTACAATTGAACCATTTTTTTATTAGTTTGTTTGCTGATCTAATTTTTCTTTAATCAATATGCAGTGCCTCCCCTCTCGAAGAGAAGCCAGGAAGAAACTCATCTGACTCCTGCAAAGTTTTCTGCCATTAAATATTTTTTTAATTTCGTTCCAAAAGCGGCCCCTTGACAGTAGTAAGGCGGTTCGGTTAGCCACACTGAGTTTCCCAGCGGTTTTCTTAGCACCTGGGGTCAGTTAATTGGGTGTCCTGCACAAGGGGTCAGGATTACTCATTACTGCTTAATTCAACGGTCAAACTGCACAGGTGCAGCAACCGGCGCCCAGGGCTCCGCCCGTGAGCACTACGGCGCATACACTTGTTTTAATGAGCGCCATGCCCTAGTGATACGGAGGGATACTATAATCAATGACTAAAGAAAATAAGAGGTGTCCTTCGGCCGCCCCGGCAGCAGTATACGATTAGGCCAATAAGCCGCTCCGAAACCCGCCATTATTATGATGTTATGAAACAAGTTGTAGATATGCCCTTTGGGTCAGTAATTTGGCCATCTTAAGTATCCAACATACAGAAGCAGCTAAAATGGACTTAAGTAACATATTAATAATTTCATTATTTTGGTATCACCCTGTGCGTTTAGTGAGTGTCACCCCCATTCCGTCTAACAATTTTGCATTTCCGGTGGAGTGTAACCACCTCTCCTTAATATTTAATTTTTTAAACTAAATAAAAATAGTTTTGACAGTGAATTTTACGAGTTTTTGTCACGGTATCACGCCTAAATTGTGAGCCCCTGCCATGTGACGCTACTGTGCTACAGTTAAATTGTTAATTTGTTTTTATATAAAAGTGATATATAATCAATGATATTTTACGTTACGGGGTACTACATAATAATGCCGTATATATACACAATTAGGACGTATAAAATACACTATTTACAGATTGACTTAGGGGCCCAATAATAATGTTTGCATAGGGGCCCGAAAATCCTAGCTACCCCACTGCTACGTCATCGCTATATTGTCGCGCCACACTCACACTGAATAATATTCTATTAAACTAATCAAAAAAGCCCTAACGTCAATACCAACTAAATACATATCGTCCTTAGTAATCTCTACCAGTCTTATAATTTATAATGGGCGTGTTCGGTGTTCTACACGAAAGAAGCGAAGGGAACTAATTTCAAGTGGTTTAGAAGAAGGTGTTATTTTAACTCGACATAAAAGAAAGAAGTAGATAAATCATCAGCATGCCTAGCGACCAAAAAATCTGAAGTTAAAACAATAAAAAAGAAACGTCTTTGAAGTCTGCATCAAAGTTCATTGAAATCTGGTGCGGTATAGTTAACACCACCCAGCGTAAGTATCTAAGTATCGGGTGGGGGTAAGAATATTTCAATTTAGTAAGATATTACATCTGTAAGTAATTAAAATTTAATCTAAATGTAAAGTTTACTGGATTCAATAACAAATGGAAAGGAAAATAGTCAGCTTAATGATAACTGTTCACTTAACTTTTGGTGACATGACTAAGAATCTAATATATAAAGCTCAATTCTGTATGTAATAAGTTTGTCGTTGACATACTTAGATGGACTTAAGTGTTAGATAATTAAAGTCCTTATGGTCTAAATTTATGAAAAAATTATAATTTATAAAAAATTAATATTGAAAGTTTTGGGAAATAATTTAAATTTATCAAACTGAAAGTAATAATTTTCGGCATGTTCATTAAACACAAGTTTTTAAAAAATATCATCTTTTACAAAAATTCTAATTATGTCTTTATTTAGTCCTATAGCACTTACTTCCCTTTGATAAATTAGGAAAACACAATTACTTCCCTTTATAAAACATTGCATTAGTGGAAAAGAATTTACTTTTTATTACTTTGTTTTGGTGTTGGGAAAAAAAATAATTACATAATTAGCGGGGATTGATCAAGTGCAAATGTTGTAGGTATTTTACGGATAAGCTTGGAGTATTATAATTGTTCATTAAATTGAAACAGGCGCGTTCGTTTAAGTGAGTGCAAAAGACTATGAATAAGTTGGGGTACTATAGTCGTTCATTAAGCTAAAACAGGTGATTCCGCCCCGGGCGTTTATGTTCGCGTTAGTGTTTTCTTTGTGTTTAGGTGGGTTTGCGTTAGTGGTTGCGTTTTGATTTGGTTCGTTTTTGTTCTTTCTTTTTTCGTTTTTGTTTGTGTTTTTTTCTTTGGGTTTGTATTTGTGTTTTTGGTTGGTTTTGCGTTTGGATTTGGTTTGTTTTCGTTTGCTTTTTCGTTGTTTTTTTGTGTTGGTATTGGTGTTTGTGGTTGGGTTTGTTGTTAGGTTTTTGTTTTCGTTTGTTTTTTGTTTGTTTTTTCTTTGTGTTTGTATTGGTGTTTGTGGTTGGGTTTGTTGTTAGGTTTTTGTTTTCGTTTGTATTTGTAATTGTGTGAGCGTTATGTTTGCGTTTTGTTGTTTTGGTTTTGGTTGGTTGTGGTTTGGGTGGGCAATGCCGGGTTTATGATGATTACTAAACACACAGGTAATGGTCTTTAACAGGAAGGTTTTTCACAGAAGCCAGAGCAGGGCCTGGCCGGGACGACTAGTCTAATACATAAAGCTCAATTCTGTATGTAAAAAATAAGTTATTTGTCGTTGACATACTTCTATGGATTTAAGTGTTAGACTATTATCGTGCTCATAGTTTAATTTATGAGTTTAAAAATTACGATTGAAAGTGTTGGGAAATAATTTTCATTTTTCAAACAGATAGTAATAATTGTCGGCATTTTCATTAAACACACTTTTAAAAAAATAACAAAAATTCTAATTATTTCTGGAAATTATTTATATTTAGTCCTTTAGCACTTACTTCCCTTTGATAAATTAGGAAAACACAATTACTTACCTTTATAAAACATTGCATTAGTGGAAAAGAATTTACTTTTTATTACTTTGTTTTGGTGTTGGGAAAAAAATAATTGCATAATTAGCGGGGATTGATCAAGTGCAAATGTTGTAGGTATTTTACGGATAAGCTTGGAGTATTATAATTGTTTATTTGGTTTGGTTTGGCACCTACGTTCGTTTAAGTGAGTGCAAAAGACTATGAATAAGTTGGGGTACTATAGTCGTTTATTAAGCTGAAACAGGCGATTCTGCCCCGGGCTAGACTAAGCACTTTGCGTTTATGTTCGCAATTGTTTATTTGGTTTGGTTTGGCACCTACATTCGTTTAAGTGAGTGCAAAAGACTATGAATAAGTTGGGGTACTATAGTCGTTTATTAAGCTGAAACAGGCGATTCTGCCCCGGGCTAGACTAAGCACTTTGCGTTTATGTTCGCGTTTGTGTTTTCTTTGTGTTTAGGTTGGGTTTGCGTTAGTGGTTGCGTTTTGATATGGTTCGTTTTTGTTGTTTCTTTTTTCGTTTTCGTGTTTTTTCTTTGGGTTTGTATTTGTGGTTAATTTTGTGTTTGGATTTGGTTTGTTTTCGTTTGCTTTTTCGTTTGTGTTTTTTTCTTTGGGTTTGTGTTTGTGGTTGGTTTTGCGTTTGGATTTGGTTTATTTTCGTTTGCTTTTTCGTTTGTTTTTTTCTTTGTGTTCTTATTGGTGTTTGTGGTTGTTGTTAGGTTTTTGTTTGCTTTTTTTGTTTGTTTTTTCTTTGTGTTTGTATTGGTGTTTGTGGTTGGGTTTGTTGTTAGATTTTTGTTTTCGTTTGTATTTGTAATTGTGTTGGCGTTATTTTTGCGTTTTGTTGTTTTGGTTTTGGTTGGTTGTGGTTTGGGTGGGTAATGCCTGGTTTATGATGATTACTAAACACACAGGTAATGGTCTTTAACAGAAAGGTTTTTCACAGAAGCCAGAGCAGGGCCTGGCCGGGACGGCTAGTATAATATAAATTTAGTCATGACGGGTGTTGAAGCAAAGAATAATTATATTAGTAATTGTAAAAAAAGATTAAAACTTTTTCTTAGTTATATTTTATATCAGTTATTGCTTTACAATAAATACTAAAACATAGAAATTAAAAGGATAAAAACTTTTATCAGACAAGCTTTTGAATGCAATTAAAAATAAACACAAAATTAGTTTTCTTAAGTTAAGCTATATTTTTAGCAAAAATGAAAGTGTTGGTAGCAGGATGTATTGAAAAGATTTCTAAAGTTACTGAAGTAGTAAAGTAGTATATGTATTTTTGGGATGGCTTATTCAAATGGTAGTGTTTGGATGCTGGCACAAAGGTCTCAAGTTCGGATCATGGTTCGGACTTGTGACTGTAGGATGTCCACCCAGCAGAGATTAGTACTTACATTGAGGAAAGTAATGGTGGCTGGGCATAGTGCTGACTACACCCACCTTTCATATGCCGAGCTCAAGAAACATTTGAACTCTACTTCATCTGCACGATGAATAACTATGTCTAAAGAGGAATCTTTACTTATTATTAGTATTTTTTTTTAAAAAGAATATAGTGATTTATTTATAAGTATAAGAAAAATAAATGATTGTACAATGATGACTAGAAATATTTTGTCACAAAAAATTATGTACAGCTAAAAAAAAGCTTTTAATTAATTGATAAGCATATTATTAAATTTTAAAAATTATTATCAAAGTCAAGAATGCTATTACTGATTAAAAACGACTTTTCAGGGTATTTTACATTGCACAGTAAAAATTTGAAAAAACACACACCAAATCGGGAATAAAACAAACTAATTTCATTTGTATTTTGACTACCAGTACGAGTGCCTATTTTATATTTAATGAATGAGTTAAATGCTGACCTGTGAAAACAAAACACAATGATGAGGGTCTTTCACAAACATTTCTGTAGTGCTCACATGGAGAATTTTCTTTAAGTTTAAATGTGTGCATTTTTTTAAGATAAAAAAAATTTCACAGCATTTTTTAAATTAACATCAACAGTTTCACATAGCAAATAAAATAGATATAGTGGGGTCACAGACAGCTTTTAAAGAGGCATTGGGAAAATGTGAGGAGTTAGATCTTTTACATGCTGTAATTTTAAAGAGTTTTTGTTTAGTGTTTTGCTTATTAGTTTTTCCTGTAATGTGAGGAAGGTTGACTCACACTTTCAAAATTAGGTAAACACCATATAAATAGAGTCTCCCATCTTATTAAATAACCCGTAGCTTGTGTAAGTATAGACTAAACAAAGTGATCATTAAACATTAACGCTCATATAACAGCAAAATAAAAAGCTGCTTGATCAAGCATTTATTAAAAAATAATTGGCATTTTTATGCTAACCTTTAGCAGGCAGTCACTAGTAGTATTTAAGTGTTGGTGTTAGGCAAGCTGTGCAAAAGTGAATTGTAACTTGTAATCAGAGTTGATTTTAAAAAAAATATTGTTTTATCACAACCCAAGCCCTGCTGTATTATCACCTAACAATAACAAATTAAACAGAATTATAGTGACATCAGATGTTAACAGATCTGTTTTATCTTGCAGCCTGAAAGCTTTCAGTTTATTTATAGCCTCATAATTTAGTAATATAATTATATTGTTGAAGTAAAAACAAAGCCATCAAGGTTATATTATAAATGATAAATAGTGAATTTCTCAAAATCAATATCAATAGACCTTTTTGCTGAACTTTCATAATTTAGATAAAAAATGCAGTAAGTTATATTACAAAAATTAGTGTCATTTGTCATCTGTGATCTTGATATTCACGCAACCTTGAACTAATAAATGTACTTTTACTTGGATAATACGTATGATTTTCTTCATCATCTTCAGTATCTTCATTTTCATCTTCATACTCCTCTTCCTGGCTATTTATTTCTGCGTTGTTGTTATCTGAATCTCTGATGTGTGCGAAATACTCCTGAACTGTATATCCCAACTTTTTTTCTAAATCCTCAACTCTTTGAAAAAATAAATCCTTAGCAAAATGGTACAAAGACATGTCTAGTTGGTTAGAAGCAATAACTTTATTTTTCATCTCAGTATCAATTTTTATCTGAGATATGTGTGTGCCTAACTTTTGCTTTAAATTGTCTATGAACATAATCCCAAATGATCTTTCAAACAGAAATTGTGTCTTTTCTTGTTCTTCTACCAAACCAAAGAATGCTAAATTGATCAAATTTTCCTTTGCACTGTTAAGGAGAGTTTCTCCCACAAGGTGTTCACTCATTCCTGTTCTTTTATAGCAATTGACTTTAGACAAGTTAGCCAACATACGAGTCATCCGATTAAATGCAAGATTGTGCCTGAAAAAATAATAAGAAAAGATCTGAGTAGTTAGTAATTATATTTATACTCTTTCATACATAATTACTAGCTCAAAATCTTCACTCCTCAGCTAGGCTTCTGCCATATTTTTGCTTCTTCCCAGCGCATCACACCATCTAGTTTGGATATGAAGGGCAGTTCTGAACTCATGAATTCAGGGTTAGCAAGAGGGTGTTCTACCGCTAGACCAACCTATCCACAGTATAATTATACCATACAGGCAGGCTTATAGCTACAACAAGTATAATAAAATTTGAATAATTAAAAGGATGAAAAGTTTTTTTTTTTACTTGCAAGACAAAAACTCATCAAATGACACTCCTGACCAGTCTGAGCCTCGAAAGCAAAATGGGACTTCATCCAAAGTAGCATCTCTCCCATTACAATGAAGTCTTACAGCTTTCCATGTTGCCCCTCTCTTAACATGCTGCCATTCGCTAAGAAATCGGTCCACAGGATTTCTAAGAAATGTTATGTAATGATACCTGAAATGGAATTTTGCAAAATTTTAAAAATTTATTATGTGGTTTAACTAGTTACTTCTATAAGTAGTAAAGAATTAGTAGGCTTAGCTGTATAATGTCACTACATCCAAACAGAATAACAAAAATAACAGGGCAGAAGAAGAATATGCAATGAAAAATACATAATTTATAATACAAAATCAAAACACACAATCTAATTCTAATATGTAATGCTAAAAATTTGTGACTGGCTGATTTATGTGCAATAATGTGATCTCTCCCAATTAAATCGTCCACTCCAAAATTAGACACAAAATGTAGAAAATAATTCACCATCAAGCTAAGCAGTTTTTACCAAAAAGTTTATGTTAATTATAATTAACGAGCTGACCCGCGGTGTATCATACGCCACGATTTAGTTGTTTCATTTTCTACTTTTCAGTCATCCATAATTTGTAAATTCGACATTACCAATGCTGTCACTGAAAATATTTGCTTCTAATAGCTGTCACTAAACCCAGCTCTATACGATTGTAAACATTTAGCATGAACCACAGCTCACCAGACCATGTGGGGGTGGTAGGGATATGCCCAGAGGAAGAGATTGACTGACTCTATGATTTTGCAATTTTTCTCAGCACGATATGCTATGGATAAGATGGGGCATTTTAGTCTAATATATAAAGTTGAATTCGGTATGTGGCGGGCTAACAGCGGATTACAAAAAAAGTAGAGAAAAATTTTTTACTTCATCACCATAGTGTGATATATCTAAAGTGCTCATCATCTAAATTAATGATATAAAAAAATTAATATTGAAGGTGTTATAAAATAAATTTCATTTTTCAAACTCATAGTGTTATTTCACTGCATGTGTATTAAAAACAATTAAAGAAAATGTATCACCCTTCACAAAAATTCTTATTTTGTCTGAAAATTAATTACATTTAGTCCTTTAGCACTCATTACGTCCCTTGATAAATTAGGAAACCACAACTACTTCCATTTAAAGTAAAGAACATTACATTGGGGGGGGGGGGGATTTTTTACCTTTTCATTACTTTGTTTTGGTGTTGGGAAAAAAATAATTACATAATTAGCGTGGATTGATCAACTGCAATGTGGTAAGTAAAACACACATATTTTAAATTCTGCCTTTTATTTACTAAATATTATTTATAATCAATTAGTTTACAAGCCGCTCTTAAATGTCCTCTATGTTTACTTCTATCTATCCATTTGCGGATAAGCTTGGTGTATTATTATTATAGTCGTTCACTAAATTGAATCAGACGCTTAACCCGGTGCCCAGCAGGGTTCGATTTGGCGTTTTGGGCTATCTTGTGAGTGTTATGGTGCATAATTTACTTTTAAAAAGTGCGATAGACTATGGATAAGAAAGGTTACTATTGTCTTTAAGTGAAACAAATCCTGGCGTCCACCGGCACTCGACAGGGTGCTATTTGGCGCCTGGGCCTTCCCGTGTTCACTATGGTGCTTACCTTCATTTAAGTGAGTGCAGAAGACTATGAATAAGTTGGGGTACTAAAGTTGTTTACTAAGCTGAAAAAGGCAGTTCCGCTGACGCCCCAGCACGCTGCGATTTGGCGCCTCGAGCTAGACTGTGAGCACTTTGCGTTTCTGTTTGCGTTTTCTTTGTGGTTGGGTTTGTGTTTAGATTTGTTTTCGTTTGCTTCTTTGATTGTATTTTTATTTGCATTTGTGTTATGTTTGCAGTTTTTTGTTTTGTTTTGTTTTTGGTTGGTTTCGGTTAGGGTTTATTGAAAAAGTAATACATTTGCTCAATCCGGGCAATGCCGGGTACATGCTGATTACTAAACACACAAGTCATGGTCCCTTACAGATCGGTTTTTCACAGAGGCCAGTGCAGGGCCTAGCCGTCCCGGCTAGTTGTTCACTAAATTTACTCTTTCAAGCAACTAACAATAAAACACTGGACCTCTAAATTTTCAGCATTCTGGGCTAGAATGCCATGGTAATTGTATTTGCCTTTCCTTTATGAGATTTTTATTACTTTTACATTGTATCCATTTTCTATATGTTCCTTTAATCTTTGAGATCATAATATGTTTGTCTTTTTTCAATTTTTTTGTTGTTCATTTCACTAATTTTGTCCCACAGGTCAGGATTACTTTAATAGAGATTTTTGTGGAATTCCCGTAACTGCTGTTTTGGTACAAGTCATTTCCAGCATTTTTTTTTATTTTAAAACTTCAAAAATTTGCAAAAATCTATGGAGAAATTAGGAGAATATTAAATTAGCAGGGGAAAATAGCAGCTGGAAATCAGAAAATAAACATCCTTCTCAAGTAAACGATTTTAGTAGCCTATCATATTTTAAGTGCATGAAACTTTTTAAAATAAATGTAGGTGCTACAGACCTCAGGGAAGAGACTTGGGTGCTTCTACAAATAGCACCCTTCCGATATTTACATTTTTCATTAAAAAAAATCCTCCCTAGGTGTATTTTTACAACTTCCCAAAGTTTTATGCCAATCAGATGGACATCATGGGTGGAATTTAAGCAATAAAATGTTATATACAAAAACAATAAAAAATGTAGATACTCGTTCTGAAGGTGTCTATTTTGGTAGTGTTAAAACAATACTTATACTTATCACATCGCCTTTAGTAGTGTCATATGATCATTTACAAATGATCTTATCTTTTCTATTTTGTCCAGCTTAGAGTATACTGAGTATACAGTGTAGCGCATAAATCATTGGTTGGACAGTTCCTTCACATTTTTACTTTTAGGATTAATAATATGAATTATGGGTTACTTTTGCTAAATTGCTATCTAGAGAGAAATGTATAGTCCAAGCTGAATAATGAAACTTACCTTCTTTCACTTCTGGGTGGCATCTCATTTTTTTTAAACCATTCATCCACACAGTCATTTAACTCTGTCCAGTCAGCATGTAAACCACAAGCCCAGCCAGTAGAGTGACGACTAAGAAGCCACATTTTTCCATTTTTAGTTAAACAATCACACTTCTTCCTTTTTGGTAAACATTGACATGGTGGCTCAATATCAAGATTATGTACTAAATGCCGCCCAAAACTTGCTCCTCCTGTCTTTTGAATATGAAGATAGACAACAATATCACTCCCTTCCAAATCTAATTTGTGTATTCTATTTAAAACACTTGCATTAAATTTGTATCCAAATAATTTGTTCTTTGAAGGTACAATCTGAGCTGAAAATTGTGGATTTCTAGAAACACCAAAGCAAGACAGTCCAGTACATGTGTATACAGTCAAGAAGATAACCAATAAAGTTGTTAGTAGGAGGAAGATAAAAATTTTACATTTATACGAGTACAGAAGCATTTTATAACTTTTGTGATTTATAATCCATGTTGTATGTAGCTTCACATGTGACTGAAAACAGAAAACAAAAATATGTCATTCCAAATAAAATGCAACTTGAAACTAGATTTAAAGACTAGGGCTATAGTAAAAGAAACAGGCTTCTTTAAAAGAAAATTGAGGCCTAATCCTAATCTATTTTTAAAATGTATGATTTGTATTTAGATCTAACTACCTAACTTTAATGGACGCCAGCGAGAAAAGTCTCAAAGGTATTTGAGAGGTCCATACATTAATTTAAAAATCATGCACGGCGTAGTTACAATTAATATGGTTATAAAATCCTGTCTGTCTGTTTTTTTTCCGACTTTACTAAAGATTAGATGTATTTTTGATGTTTTTAATATTTTCGGTAACTAAATAAAAATTTAAAAAAAAAGCAAAAACAATTTGGTTTTCACGTGTAATGGCAACATAAACAATGGCATCCTGCTATTCGATAGGCTGCCATAAATTTTATTGTACACATTGTAAGATAAAAAAAGAAAAACTAGGTCATGGAGTTTAAATTTGCATTGTTATTTAAAAACTTGATCTGCAAAGTTTTGTAAACAAATAATTATTAGAAATCGATCACGGAGTTCCTGTACAGCCAATCAATGTTTGTCTTACGAAAGTGAAACATAGGGGTTATAACTTAGGCTTGATGAAAATAAATAGAAATGTAGCCTTAATTTCAACAAATTATTTTCAAGTTCTCTGGATCTGCAACTTTTATAGCATTGATTCTAAAAATATTAAATTTCTGAATTTTAGGCTTAAGTTTTTATTTTTTTTTATTTTTACGGTCCTAAATCTAAAAAAGCACATTTTTATTCCATGTCAACAACATTACGGAAGGATTCTCGTCAACTCGCTTGTCTCCATTAACTTAGTACTAGGGACATAACTACCATACTGCCAGACCCCGTAATGCGTGGGGGCCCAGACTGTTTATGGAGTCCATACCCGACCAAAATTTTAAAAAAATTTAAGATTCGTGCATTTTGCCTTGACATTTGTTTGTAAAAACAAATCCTGTAGTGCCGGTTGGATTATTCCTTATCCCATGCTCTTCCGCAAACATTTAAAAACCACTGCACAAACTGTATGTAAAAGACAGGCCAACTTCAACCAAATACCGGGCAAGCAAAACTTTTTTGGCCGGTATGGAATTTTTATGGAGAGCACTCGAAAAGAAAGGCTTATTAATACTTTAATACATTTTCTTAGCATCTCATGTTAAAATAAAATGGTCATTAGATTTTACTAGGCAAGCAGCTTTTCTGTTCCCCCTAAATAGGACAGCTAAAATAAACATAAAAACTTGAATATGTGATGTTTCAGGGTTAGAAGTCAATTCCAGTTTGCAATAAAGTGGACTATAAATAGGGTGTGGGGAAATTGCGAGACGCGAAAAGCGAAATGGCGAGGCGGGAAAATGCGAGAAGGGCGCGAAAATGGTCGGTCACGTGACTTTTTTGTCTAGCATTTTACCACAAGCCGATACTTACGCTGGGTGGTGTTGAAATGCGAAGATTTCTGCGAAAAATTTACAGCACCCGATTTTCAGTGGTATTTGGTCCAGACTTCAAAGACGTTTCGTTTACATTGTTAAAACTTCCAATTTTTCCGTCGCTAGACATACTGATGATTTGTCAACTCCCCCCATCTTTTGTGTCGACTTAGAATACCACCTTGTTCGAAACTGACGGAAATACCGCCGACGATAGATCAACTTCTGTCTTTTGTGTGGAACGCCGAGGCCGCCTGATTTACCGTCTTTGAAGATCGCCGTGCCCGGATCCACTGCCGCAGCAAGCATATTTTCTATTGTTGCATAGAAATTTTGTATTATAGCCGCCGCCTACGATTTTTTTCTAGCTTTTTTTACCATATAAATCTAAGCACAAGCTTTTATATCACGGTTGTGACTTTTCCGAATTTTCCCATAAATGTTATATTATTATTTATTAATTAATTGTAAAAAAAAATATATATATATATATATATATATATATATATATATATATATATATATATATATATATATATACACATACAATTTATTATTTCCTTAAATAAGTCAGAAAAAATAACATCAAATTAAGTATGCGATTACTGCCCTATGTGAAGGTGAGGACTAGATTAACCCTCCCTTATGTGTTGCTTATTCCTAAGCTTTTATGAACTCTCAATGCCCCCAGTTTTTTTTCTCTTACTTACTGTTTGGGGAAACAATAAAGTGACGTCACCGATATTATCAGTTGCTCATGCTATATCGTAAGCTATGGGCCTACTTCAAATATTTTTAAAACCAAGTTGAACTTATCTGAATTTTTTGGTTTTGGTGGTGGTGTTATTTTGGGTCTTCCATAAATGACTTTTTCATTTTTGCAAGTACAAAAATCCATAAATAGATGTTGCAAAATATCTCTCCTGCTGACAAGATTATACCAATTCACAATGACACAGCTTACGTTTGTATAAACATGAGCGGGCTAGATTTTTAAATTAATGCCGACTGAGACGGGATTTTCCTCTCGCTAACAAGAGCGGGCGATGGCAGTAGCACAGCAACGATGTTAGGATTTTTAAATAGATAGATCTAGATATAGATCTATCTATCTTCTTAGTATCTAGATAAAAAAATAACAACATACAACACTCGTGTTAAAGGGTATGGCTAAATGCTCGTTTATTTTAAAACAAAAAAAAATAAAAACATAAATCCTCCTCAAAATGTGAAATAATTATTAAAATGTAAGGAGTCACCTGTTTTTCACATTACTAGTCGTGGCCGATTTTACGTACCTAAAACGATAGATTACCCTAGTTTTTAATACTTACTCTTACTGGATTGGCCTAGGCCAAATAATAATATTCCCCCAAATAATTTATTAATTTTGTTTAATTATTTTTTAACTCGATCTCTAGATACTATTACTATTACAGTACTTATATATTCTAGATCTAAATCTAGATATTACTTAGATCTAGATATCTAGATCTAGATCTTTAGTCTAGCACATTTACAACAGCTTTCAAAAGATTTGTTGATTTGTTGTGAACTTGATTGGTGGATTAGGTTGCACTAAATTCTAAACTTACCGAATAATGCCAATTAACTTAGAAGTACAATAAAAAAAATTACAACTAGTCTAGATTCCTCGGTTCTACATTTAGTGGCGAGAAGAGCCTAGATAATCTTTACTCTAGATCTAGCAGAATCTAGTAATGACATGTAGTTGGCTAAATCCCAGGAATAGTTGACACACCATCATTGGTATACCACACCATATATATTATATATATATATATATATATATATATATATATATATATATATATATATATATAGGCCTATATATATATAATATATATATATATATAATAGGCCTATATAATATATAATATATATAAATATATATATAGGCCTAATATATATATATATATATATATATATATATATATATATATATATATATATATATATATATATATATATATATATATATATATATATATATATTTATATATATATATATATATATATATATATATATATATATATATATATCTATATATTTTTATATATATATATATATATATATATATATATATATATATATATATATATATATATATATATATATATATATATATATATATATATATATATATATATCCATATATATATTATATATATATATATATCCATATATATATATATATATATATATATATATATATATATATATATATATATATATATATATACTAGCCGGCCAGGCCCTGCTCTGGCTTCTGTGAAAAACCTTTCTGTTAAAGACCATTACCTGTGAGTTTAGTAATCATCATAAACCCGGCATTGCCCACCCAAACCACAACCAACTAAAACAACAAAACGCAAACATAACGCTAACACAATTACAAATACAAATGAAAACAAAAGCCTAACAACAAACCCCACCACAATCACAAACACCAATACAAACACAAAGAAAAAACAAACAAAAAAGCAAACGAAAACAAAAACCTAACAACAAACCCAACCACAACCACAATACGAACACAAAGAAAAAAAACAACGAAAAAGCAAACGAAAACAAACCAAATCCAAACGCAAAACCAACCACAAACACAAATACAAACCCAAAGAAAAAAAACACAAAACAAAAACGAAAAAAGAAAGAACAAAAAACGAACCAAATCAAAACGCAACCACTAACGCTAACCCAACCCAGAGGCGTAGCGACCCTTCCCGGCGCCCGGGAACAAACTTTTCGATTTGCACCCCCCCCCCCCTCGAAATTTTGATTTGCACCCCACCCCTCAAACTTTCAAGTTGCACCCCCTCAACCTTTCAATTTATTTTTCCAACCCATTTTGGCGCCCCCTAAGCTCGGCACCCGGGGACATATGTTCCCCCCCCCCGCCCCCCCCCCCCCCCCTCGCTACGCTACTGTCACAACCTAAACACAAAGAAAACACTAACGCGAACAAAAACGCAAAGTGCTCACAGTCTAGCCCGGGGCAGAATCGCCTGTTTCAGCTTAATAATCGACTATAGTACCCCAACTTATTCATAGTCTTTTGCACTCACTTAAACGAACGTAGGTGCCAAACCAAACCAAATCAACCAGTTATAATACTCCCAAGCTTATTCGTAAAATACCTACAACATTTGCACTTGATCAATCCCCGATAATTATGTAATTATTTTTTTTTCCAACACCAAAACAAAGTAATAAAAAGTAAATTCTTTTCCACTAATGCAATGTTTTTATAAAGGGAAGTAATTGTGTTTTCCTAATTTATCAAAGGGAAGTAAGTGCTAAAGGACTAAATATAAATAATGTTCAGACATAATTAGAATTTTTTGTTATTTTTTTAAAATTATGTTTAATGAACATGCCGACAATTATTACTATCAGTTTGAAAAATGAAAATTATTTCCCAACACTTTCAATAGTAATTTT